TTCCAGCAATGGAAGAGAGAGACGATGGTTCCTGGTGCTGGGAAAGGTCTGATACAGGAAAAGAGTGGGTCTCCCAAGACTCCCTCATATCTTCTTCTGTTGGCTTTTCTGACGATGTTGCCTTTACATTCCTTTCCTTCTCCAGCACAGGACTGAACAACAGCCTCGATACGGGTCCAGACTCCTCCAGTCTGTTCTTCACCCTTGTTGACGGTGGCTCCTTCACAATCTGTGACTGCAGCGGCACTTCCGGCTGTATTACTCGCGGAGCCCGCATCCGACTGCGAGTGGATCTCCGTCCTGAAAGGCGCGTGACGGAGAAGGCCGGTCCTCTTTCCGTGGGCGTGAAAGACTCCGTCGGAGGCATCGTGTGTATACCGCCGTTGTTTACACTCGCCGCATCTCCCCCACCCGCATCACGAACTCGCGGGCAAGACAGTCTATTTTGAACCATGTCCTGTGGGGTGAGAGGATTGCAACTGTCGCCGACGTTTGAAACGCCATTCGACCAGTCACCGTTAGTGGGATGAGAATATTCGGAGAAATGGATGGAAGGCATGGTGGAGAGGGGGACGGGCGACCAGTCACCGTCCAGGAGACTGTCAAGCTTCGCTCCATTGTCCTCTGGCGAAAGAGACGCCGCGGTGTGGTGAGGGCGACGCATGCACAATCACCGTCTCACAGACGCTGGTAAAGTTAATGACTATCTTCTCTCACTCTTTTTTTTGTTTTGTATATTATGTGCCGTGTGGGCCCGTGTGTGTTATTTTATGGCACCAACAGCCACGCAATAAATAACTTTTAACCAGCTCCGCATGCCAAACACACACAAACAACAAAAAAGGAAAATAAAAAAGAAGTAAAAAAAGCCAACATAATCTCAGAAAAGTACATCAAACTCCCCAAGACTTCACACATGCCCTGCTGCGAAAAAATAAATAAATAAATAATTTGTAATTCAATGCCAATATATTTATTGTGTCCAAAATGTATCAACAACACGTTCATCCTTCGCCCGCCGTGCATAAAGAGCACCCGGCCATACGAGCTCTGCCTCAGTGCCTCCTCTAAAAAAAAAAAAAAAAAGCCGCTTTATTGTACTTTTGTAAGCGGGGGGGGAGAAGAAAAAAAGGTCATAACAGCCCTTGTGGCCACTTGGCCCTTGTGTACATGACCACAGCACAAGAGAAGCACGCTGGATTCATTCAAAATATTAATGACGCCTCCAAGCCACCGGGGTTAACCCGTACTGTCCACAATCCCCTTCGGTAACAATACCCTCATGTAACCTCCTACTTGAACCCTGCTGGCAAAGTAATAAGTCCTTTTCCGCAGACATGTGTTCAATGTAAGAAGTTTTGTGTGCGCATCCCCCTCGGTACAAATTCCCACGCACGTTAAGCGCCGGCAATTCTCCAGTTAACCGCCTCGCGCCGTGGCGTCAATGCGGCTGAGCCCGTTGTGCCGCTCCTGAAAGCATCCTGGCAGCCCGTGCCAATACGCAAGGCCCATTTGCCATAATCGTCACTAATCGATAATAGGAGGAAACACCACGTGTAAAAAAAAGAGAAGTTCATGAAGGCAGATAAAAAATAAATAAAAAAACAACGGCTAAAAACACACACACACACGCACACAAATGGCGCAAAATTTATAATAATAATAATAATAATAAAAATAAAGAGAAAAATAAAGATGAAGGAGGGGACGCAAGCACACACAATCACGGTACAGTTATATACATAAACAAAAATACATCAGTGCTAAGGAACGTGACAAAAAAAAAAAAAAAAAAAGAGAAGGAGAAGGAGAAGAAAAAAAAAAAAAAAGAGGGAAAATTAAAAAGAAAAAAATTACATAAAATAAAGGCATACAAGTCACAACTTTCAATAATTACCGAGGAGGAAATAAGAGAGAGAGAGAAAAAGCCCCAAAGTGAATCAAACATTTATGTCTTGACGTATGTGTGTATATGCTTCTGTATGTCTGCATGT